CCGTTTGGTCTTGCCAACTGTGGATCAAATCAGCTGCAGCCTCAGGCGTCTTGACGATCGTGTTGCGGTCATCAACGTAGCTGACCAGCGAGGCCTCATGCTGATGATTCTGCAGGGTTTGCAAAACTTCAGCGGTGGGCCCACAAAGTAAAGCCAACAAGCCTAATGGACTCATGGGATCTCCTTGTGGAAGAGACGCCGTCACCTGCTGAGCTTCCGGAAAAACTCTTTGACCCACCACAAGCCACCGAACTTGAGCTGGCCACACCCACTCCAGAGCAGCAACGACCTCCGGGGCCATGCCCGCGCTCGCCAGCGCCTGGATTGCGACTTTCGGATCGGCCCTGTCAAAAGCTTCAGAAAAATCCTGGCTCACAAGGGCAGTGCCATCAACAAAATGCTTATCGAGGGCAGCAACCGCCGTATGAACGCCTAAGGCCGAAAGGCCCCCATGTGCGTGCTGCGGCCTCCAGGTGTCGACCCACTCCACAAAGCTCTTCTGATGAACGATAGCCCCTATGACGAGTCTCCAGAAGGTACACTCAACAGAGATCGGCCTCAAGTCCTTCACCGAAAGGGGAACCCACGGCTGCCGCTCCTCTTGAGCCTTGGTCTTCGGGATGTGAGTTTGCCGAATGACACGCCAGTCGTGAGGAAATGGGGAGTCGTGTCCATCACGAGCACGCTGAAACCATCTCTGCACCAACACTTGAAAGACAGCCCATGCTTCATCGGGAATGGCCGCCACTTCATCACCGTGCCAGCCGTCCAAGCCGCCGGCTCTCCCTCTCAATCGCTGCGCCGCCTGTCGAAGATCCGACGCCGAAGGCGCTGTGAAGTGATGAGCACGCGCATCTGGAAAACGAAAGCTTGCTTGCACATCGGACCATGCTACGGTGGCTCGGTCCCAGATACTTCTCCAGTGAGTTTTGATGTACAGAAGGGTCTCGCCGATGGTGCCCGAAACAACATCGGGGTTGGCAGGCGCAAAAACATGATTCGGCAAGCATGTCATGACACCCTTGATCCACTTATACGCAGCACTGCTGCGCATTCGCTGTCTCCAGTCACCAAGGCGACGGCGCTCGGCCTCGCGAGTGACCTCTCTAAGCCTTGTCTCTGCCTCTACCAAAATCTGCGAAATTCGGTAAGGAAGACGAGAAAAATCGATTTCAGCGAGCCTGGTCCTCTGAATCTTCTCAATCAAGAGTCGGCGCTGCTCAGTGCACCTTTCGGGAAGGGTTTGCAGATGACGAAGCCTGCCAATGACTGTGCGCCATTTCCTCTCCAAATGCGTTTTCTTGTCGCCCTCGTTGCCCACAGTGACCTCCAAACGACGGGGCTGCAGAACCGCAGCCGTGCCTTTTGGTCGCTTGCCTGCCGTGCCACTTGACATTGAACCAGCATGCTGAAACATTTCTTCCAGGCGCCTGTTGAACCAGCACCACTCGTCTTCGGTGTCGGTGTCGGGCACCTCAGAAACCAGCGCTTGCCAGGCTTGTCTCAGCGCCTCTGTCCAGTCGTGGCCCGTCAAGCCGTCTGGACATCTGTATTTGCAAGTCGCAGGGAGGGACCATGCGACCTCAGGCTGCTCACGAACGCGAAAAGCAAACTCGATGACTTTGTGATCACCGAAAACTGCATCCCAGGAGGTGACGCACTGGAGCTTGCCGGGCGTGTTGGTGACGGCGTAGTCTATGGCCCGCCGTCCCTTCCATCGAGTAGGAAGCAGTTTCCGGCGGAGTCCGTCTGCGCCACAGAAGTCGCGCCATCATCATGAAAGACTGCTTGCAGAAAGTTCTCGTTAGGAAGCGCGTTCCAATCCCCAAAACCAACCCACAGCTGATCTGGGTCCAACGAAGCAATCAAAGAAGCGATCTCGTCCTCGAAGCTCTGGCCATGCGTGATCCAAGGCTTGTGGTGCACGCCTACGAAAACACAACCAGCAACTTGCAACGCCACAAAATGACCTGCATGCGCAGCAAACGAAGCGACATGTCGCACTCTGTAACTCTGACGAACCGCCAAGAGCAACCCATGACAGAACTTACCATTGTCTTGAAAAGCCGGCGAAGCCCAGACCATGAAACCAAATTTCTGTAGCTGACGCTCGAAACATGTCAATTGAGAACTCGTCATTCCCAACTCTTGCACACACAGGATATCACAAGCATCCAAGTACTCAGTCGAGAGAAGCTGCCAAGCATGATCACGACCGCAAGCATTCAGCGTGACACATCTCAAACTTGAAGGGCCGGGATTCTCCTCGACGTCTTCGTCAACGGTGAGGTCCTTGATGTACTCCGTCTTCTTGAGAGGCGTCAATCCTCCCGTCAAGCGCTTGCACTTGAGGCGTGCTCGCTCCATTGCATGCTTGGCTTCCTGTTCCGTGAGGCGCCATCTGCTGCACATGCGCACCAGAGTTGCGCGATCATGCTTCCACTTGTGCGCCCACCACGTGGCCTTGATGGACAGATTGCGGAGCCGGGCCTGCTGGCCGCCGCAGGATCTCGTGGCCCGTTTCAAGCATCCGAAAATGGATGTGCAAGAAGTACACGTAAGCAAAGTAGCGCCCTCTGCGTACCTCTCCTTGACAAGGATGAGCTTGTGACCACTCTTCTTTTCCAAAGACGCTTTGACCTTCGCAAACCGTTTCATCCTGTCCTTGCTGTAGTGATGCAGCTGGGGTCCATCTTTGCTGTGAGAAATGGACTGCGAGGTCAAACGCTTGCGGTTTTCGCGCATGGAGATCTTGCGCTTGAAACACTTGGCCAAATGACTGATCGCCCATTTACGCAGAATCCAGACGTCCATGACTGGGAGGCCCAGCCTGCACTTTGAACACGTCCAGGCACGTTGATGCATAGGTAGGTCTGCAACCATAACTTCTTCGGGACGAACTCGAATGGAGTTGAACTTGGAGCGATCTTCACCAGGGTGAGCATTCCGAAGATGGTTCGACCGCCGCTTGCTGAGAGTGTGGAGCGTAGCGGCCCTGACATCCTGATGGCAAGCGCAGCAAGTCCAGAGCATGTTGCCTTCCGACTTCTCAGCAGCTTTTGGCTTGCCCGAACAGCTACACTTCTTGTTGAAAGCCTTCTTGAGGAAAGAGCTGGCGCTGCCGCGAGTCCCACGACACGTGGACGCGCCCTTGCCTGCGAGAGACGTCGCCGTACAGGAACGAGACGCCTTGCCACTGCTCGACGACGTAAAGGAGCTTTTGGGTGTATGACTCGGCATCCACCCTTTGAGACCTGGATTTTCAGAACTCACCGATCCAGCCTTAGAGCTCTTCGGCGTGCTCTTTGGGATCCACTCATCTCTGCAAGACCTCTTGGTAGACGCCTTGGAGCTCGCAGGAGTGTGTGGAGGCATCCAGTCCTTCATCGAAGCAGTGCTTTTGCCTCCACCTCTGAACAGCATCGTGTGGATGTTGTACTTCTCTCCTCGTTTCCAGTCTGTGGGAAACGGTTTGTCGTGCACCGGCTCCAGCAGGGTGTAGTGCGAGTCCTTGAGAATCATAGCAATGAATTTGGACCTGGACTTTCCAAATACCACCGGATTCTTCCATTCTCCATCCTTGAATTGGTGAACGATGGCCGTGACTCCCAATCGCGTAGCTGCTGCTTCCAACGTAGCCCCGCATATGTAGCGTGAGTCGCGAGCAAGACTGTCCTCCCACTGCTGGTAGCTTTCTGGTACGGACCCTCCTTCGCTCACTTCTGTCCACTGTGGGTCCTTGGCCCAAGCACTCTTGTACGTTTCAGGATGTCGCTTGACATGCTGCTGTACTTCGACACGAAGGGTGCGCCCACGAGTCTGAGCCTCGTCCTTGATGTCATTCCATTTGGCACCATCTGCCAACATCTTGCCCATGGCAAGGCAATTGTAGCCGCATGCGCCATTGCCACCACAATCTCGCACGGTGTAGCCATCGAAGGAATCATGCTTTGATCGCTTCGAATCTGGGCCTTTGGTGACGGTCTCACGCTTCTTGCTCGAGCCATCACCCTCTTGTTTGTGACTGTCAGCAGTAGCAGGCTCGGCTTCCCCACTGTCAGTCTGCATGGCGGCACGAGTCTTGTGCCCGCTAGGACCACCATCACCAAAAACTTTGCGAAGTGGATGCGTAGTGATCTTGGTCGGCTTGGCACCTGTACACCGCTGTATGACCAAGATGTGCTTTCCCACTTCGACCGCCTCGACGAAGTCTGAGACGTCACCGGGGTTCACTCCCCGGATGCGCCATCCCTGGCCTCGTCTTGGAGGCGCCAAAACTTCCAACTCAGTCCATCCGGCTCCTTCCAGAGCGCTGCACAGATCGGACTGCGTCCAAAACCCTGGGGAGCCCTTGAGCTCCCAACAAACTGCCACCTTCTTAGGCGCTCCAGTGAGGTACTTGATAC